TGCACCTATCATAGTTTCTAGTGAATTAATGAAAGTCCCATTGACTCTATCTTGATGCTCTAAATTATTGTTAGAAGTGGTACTAGTGGAAGAATTTGGCCATTTTGCATCACGTGATACCAATGGAATGCAATTGAACTTTGCAATTATTAATCAAAGGTCAACCGTGTCCTACCTCCTCTGAAAACAACTGGTTGAAAAGTGGACACACCCACTTCCTGGCCCTACCATTAACTTGAACCCAGATCCGCCACTGCTTACATGTATATAATCATTACCAGGTCTTGCTGAATATTACCAAGTGCTAGCGCTTGGTATGTAGGGTTGAGTTGGACGATCGCGCCCCCAAAATGGCTGCCATGCCAGAAGCATTGAGCCCGTTTAATATCTTTAGAAATTCTTTATGGCTTATCTGACAATCCAGATGTCCTTTATAATTTCATCAAAACAGTTTAGTGTTATAAAAAGTAGTTAAAACTTCCATAAGATAGTTTTACGGCAAATGAATGCATGCATGCCTGCATGCACCAAATGTTCAGGTTTGTTCTTCTTCCACAGTTAAGTAAAAACTAGTCCTAGAGTTTTTATCCTAGAAATATGATTTTTGCACCATTGTGTTGCGTTTCAGGGACGCTAGTGCAGTGTGGCTTGGCATTGTAATTCTAGAAAATGATTTCTTGTCGTTATTTTCAAGCACACATGGACTCACCAAGTGGTTGGACGCCATTTTGATTCAACCAACTGTGCATGCTCAGTATTATTTTAATGGAGAGAAATTGGAAACGGTAGGGTCTCAAAAGCGGATGGACGGATGGACCCGCCCCGCCCGAAAAAGGACGGATGGACGGACTGATGCGGACCCGACAGGACCATAAATATCCATGTAAAGGACAATCATTCATGGATAGCCTGTCTTTAAAACACTTCTATACATGAACAATAAATTTATGTACGTATTAACGATGCTAGGACCAATAGAAGAGGTCATGTTAGCGAAAATTTAACTTTATCAATGCAAAATTGCTACTACAGGCTGCATGAAGCATCACAATACTGAACCATCACTTGAATTCTATTTGTTATTCTTAATAGGAGTTCAGTGACACCATTTTAATGATTTTTCTATATTATTTGGTGTAAGTCTAATAATAAACATAGTACATAGTGAAATTTTATGATTAATTTTTATCAGTGCTATTGCATGCAACACTATACTGAGATACTGATTTCATTTAATTACACAATTAAAATAATAATAGTTCAATATCCTTGAAATCACTGCTCTTTAGAGATAAGGAGACCCTTTGAAATAGTTATATTGAGCTTTAGAATCCAGCCAAAAATTAGTTATCCTATGTAATAAATGTTAAAATTATAGTTACTTCTAGTATATTTATTTTTGTCATACCTGGGCTAGGAATGCCACACTTTTTTTGCAGATCCCTTTTCAATGCTTGTAAATCATTGTAAAGAGTTGCTTAGCACTAAGCAACTCTGGTTGCAACGCTAACAGTTATTGTCTTCCACCTATATAAAAATGATATTCCATTTCAATAGCAAATTGTACCTGAAACTGTGAAGCATGAGAGTCATAAGCCATTGCCTCAAAAATTTTGAAGTTATATAATAAACTATGTTATGACAGAGCATAACCATTACAATAGAATTTATACTTGGACAACATATCGGAACACTCCATCACAACACAGTATGATGTATAGGCAAACTAAAAGTCAATTAATTTTAACAATAACATATTAGATATGCATAATTTGCACAGATAAGCACCACAGTCAATGGAACTGTCTTGTTTGGGTACAAACTGTTGCAATAATAAACTAAAATTTGTAAGTTTGTACATACCACTTCATAGTATGTTTGTATAGTCTGAAAAGTTAAACTTCTGTGTGTGCACCCCTACCTTTTTTTTCAAATACATTGACAGCACACTATTCAATTTGAACAACAAAACATTAATTCAAATAAAATTTTGATTCATACCAGCACTTGCTTGTTTTGTCACAGTAAAATATTTTTCAATAGAATCAAAATTAAAAAATTGATTTATGACGCTTAATAACCTATACAAATCTGCTATTAATATTGTAGACAAATAAATTTTAAAAAGAACTTACAATTAAAATCTAGTGGCTTCTGACATGACAAGCATTATATACAATAGATTCAACTTCACTTACATCATATATAATCCTAATTTTATAGTGTTAA